GCCTAGAACTTGGTGCTAGAGAAAGAACACACACACACTGCAAAGAGGAGCAACAAAGAGTAGCTATTTGGGATGACTTTTATGCATCATTTGAAGAGTATATTAAACTATACTAATAATCACGTTCCTCACACTAAACACATTTGTGGAATCAGATGTTCCTTTGGAAAGCATATGGGACATTCAATAGTAGATTGGAAAAGCAGTTACTACATAGTCATGCTATTGTGTGCTGGGGTGTGTGCTATATAATACATTTCTTAGCACCAGTCCCAATCAGAAACTGTCCCAATGTTTAAGGAGAGCACAAAATCAGAATACCACCACCAAAGATTTTATATATAGGTAGACACTTTTAGAAAAGACTTTGGTTTTCCAACAGCACAATCCAAAATGGAAACATGAGTGGAAACTGTACTTTTGCAACTAGATCCTATTAGCCAACCTGAAAGATGTCTAAAAACCTGATAGAAGTCTAAAATGAAAGAGAAAAAATTATGTTCAGGGCTACATTTCTGTGCTTCTGATATAAAAAAAGTGTTTCTACTGAATGAAGCAAGCCATAAATTGAAAATTTTCACAAAGTTGGAGACATAGGATCATGCTTCAGGAGTGCTGGAGCATCTGTAGAGGTAGAAAAAAGAACTTTTCCCCAGATTTTCAAACATGTAAAACTATGATTCCCAAATACAGCCAAGGACAGCGTGGTAAAATTCAGGGCTAAAGGTAGTACCAAGCTACCTCAATCATATAGAAATGACATCTTGTGCCTGTCCTCTGATTTAAGGTTATTGTAAAATTCTTCAGTTGCCATCAATGTGAAATACCAAGGAATTGAGGGGCACAAGAAGTCACCAGAGAGATAAGAATCTCTCTTCCTTATATTGTGTTCATCTAAATCATATAAGCACAGCAGAGCATTAAGCATCAAACTAACACATACCATGTGCTGTTTATTCTCTCATCCTCTTACTAAGCTCAAGAGTTGTTAAATCATCTCTATGTCACTGGAGGATCCTTCTTCACCACGACTATCTTCCCACAGCTGGCTACAAAGGTTTCAAAGCCAGGCTGCAGGCAAGAATGAGGACTATGATTTTTACAAAGTGCAAAGGATTATATTGCAGAAAATAGTTCCTGCTGGTAGATGATCAGGAGGTTATCAGACTCAGTGTTTCATATGAGAAGTGCTTACCCACTTTAACAGATATGTAATTCAATGGTCATTTGAGTAAAAAAAAATTGTGGTATTACTAACATAGGAAAATACAAATCCGTATAATGTACAATAGCTGTAAACTATTGTGCGTATTTTAATGGTGCAGGTTAATTTTCAACTTGCAGACTTATTTTATGCATCACATTTATACAATATTGCACCTTAACCTTAATTTGGTATGATCATTTTGATGGTCTTAAATTACTAATTTTCACTTCATAAATTCATTCAAATGCGTGCTGATTTAGAATACAAGCCTTGAAAACCATTAGCACGCCTTTGCGTGGCACATTCCAGTTGGGAACAGGTGGGCTTAGAACTGGGAAGTGCTTCTCCAGAAGGGACTTCATTAGCTCCTTGTCATCTGTAGTAAAAATTGTTTTCAAATCAGTTTTACCTCAGGGTAAAACATACTTTAAAGACAAAATACTTTGTATCTCTACAGAGATAGAAACATCATCTTGGAAAGTAATGTATTTTCTCACAACTGAAACTATCTGTCTCAAAAGAATTTTCATTGCGTAGAACTTAAACATTGTTATTTGTTCAGTCAGTACCAGACTGAATGTGATGCCTACCTCTGTCCCTGCCTGCTGCACGACTACAGGCCTGTGCCTCAGTTTCTTCCTCAAAAAAGCATTTACATATTTCTAGTCTTCATGGTTTCTTCAGTTATTTTGCAGCTCCCCTTTTGAGAATAGATGGAAGATTTGTATCATCTGGACTCACGAAAGACGTAATTTGCTCTTGCTGCATCTGGGAAATACAGCTTTATGGGATGGGTTTGCACATCCTTTTTTTTTTTTTAAACCATCATTGTCCCTCACTGCTTTTCAGTCCAAAAAAAATTAGATCTGCCCATATAATTTCTTATAGCTTAAAATCTTAATGGTTCTCCCTGAAGATAATAAAACATCACAGTGGTTTTCTAGCATTTTCATAAAGACCATATCCCAAAGTGACACACAGTTCAACAACAACTAGCAGAAACAGAAAGCATAGTATTGCTTTCTGGATGAGAGAGAAGAGGCATTTATCTTTAAGTGACCTGCAAAGTAGAGCCAGTAAAGTGGTGAAAAGTCAAGCAGGAATTTTAGGTTGCAGGAACTGTAGAAAACTTTCTTACATCCAAAAGTGGTGAAATCGTAGCCAGTGAGAGAATTGTGTTGAACCAGTAAAAACGGGAACAAGAAAGATACAAAAGGGTGTAGGCTGGAGCAATTTCAAAGAGGTTTAAAATAACGAGGGCAGTTTCAAACTAGATTATGAACTACACAGACTTTATGGAAGATACAAATATGTGAGAAGCATACCAGGACCAATTACTCTATTAAATTTGGTAATATATTATGTTTTCCTTTTGCATCATTTTCTTGCAGGTGAATTCCTTTTTGATATTTGCAATGACTATGTAACCAGTCTAAAGTTAACAAAAGTTGTTCCCATTTACACAATGACTACGTTTGGTACCACAAAGTAATTATTGCTTAGCTCCTTCTTCTATAGTATCTTAACTCAAAAAAAAAAAAACCAAACCAACCAACAAAACAGACAGGAATCCCCACAACTTTAATTGCTGGGAATTCTGTGCCATTTTACCCCAAAATTGTCTGAGATGCCTACCAGAAACACAGTAGCCGTTTGGGAAACATACTGCAAGTTGTTCAGAAGGTACAAAATGATAGGATGTGATTATTGGCCTCTAGATTGCAGAGCTGCCAGGTACACATGTACAATCTAAGATTTACTATAGCAGTATGTTGTCAACACTGGTGATATTTATAAATGCATTTGGGGGTACTGACATCTTCCACTGGAGCAGCTGTGTGGAGAATTGGAAATCATAAAGAATTACTCCAAACTGCATGATTTCACAACTATGAAGAATGACAAAAAGGCTCCAAATTAAAAATACTGGGGAGCAAACAAAAACGCGATGTAGCAGAATTGCCCATCTTCTATTGGGTACAGATTTGCACACTGGCCCTCTGTGCCTTTACTTTCAAGAGCTAGCATTTTTCAAGTTGGGCTTGAACTTTTATTTCCCTGTACTTCAAATGTTTTAGGTTGCTCACATGAAGTAACCTGAATACAGCTCTGGTACTCTAATGAAATTTAAAGCTGATTTGCAGAGTCTTTCTGCACAAAAGTCTTCCTTGCCAAACTTAGAAACTTTTTATTTTGTCATTAATGAACTATTTTCTGTCTATTTTATTTCTCTTTCCCATTACTGGAAGGCCTTACAAAACCATACAACAAAATTATGTTAGTGTATCCATTTGCGCACTCAGATGCACTTGTCAGAAAATAGTTCCCTTTTATCTACCATCAAAACAAGTCCACTTTCAATAACACTACTAGTGAAATGTGAAAAAAACACCCCCAAACCTTCCTTGAATAATGTGGAGGGTTTTTTCCTCTCTTATCCTGCATAATTTTCTGACTTATCTCCATGAATTTGTTTGTTCCTTATAGTATGTTAATAGATTTTTAACCTAACAAACTGGAATACATTTACATAACAATTTCTTTTTTCAATTATCTGCTCTGTGTGGTTTTAGATAGTATGGCTGGTCACATGGGATATTTTGCATTGTGTAGTTAATGTGTCAAAAAAAAAAAAAAAAAAGGACATACTTTTCCTGGGATAGAGATTCCCCAGCTCCTCTAAATTTTGTGTCATGCCGCTGCTGTTTGAATGTTTATGGACATCAAACAAAACAGCTGTTTTGAGTAGCCAGTGAAAGCTAAACACTTATCACTTGCTGGCATTGCATTTGCAGTGATCACTCTCTCCTCAGGCGTACTCTCAGAACTTTTGGACTAGGAAGGGGTGATCCTGGTCAGGTATGACAAGCAATGACACTCCCACCAGCACTCCCTTTTCTTGTGCAAATATGTTTTACACAAGTGAATATGAGCTTGGACTGAAACTCTGCTTTTCTTAAATTACAGGGCTTAGGCTGGTATCGTCTCTCCTTTGAGCGCAGGAAATTTCTGTTCATGCATGTGTGTATGCATAAAGATAAAAGGAACCATGGTACACTATAAAAGGACAAGATAAAATTACTCTTTTCCCCCCTCTCTAGGCACAGAGGAGTGACTCAGTTTTCTACTCAGCCCCCAGTAGTCCTGGGAAGTGGCTTCAGTCTTTCAGCTGAAGAGCCAGTCAAAGATTTGGCTTCATGCAAAGATACAGACCCTTCTATATAGGATTAATGTTTCTGCAAACCAAACCTGAGTTTATGTCTCCGTAAGTTTACCCAAGGCTTTATTAAGATTATTCAAAAAATCCTTCCCCGTTCTATCAGACTGAGCTCCTCCCCTTAATTGTAAAACTGGAAAGAGATTGTGAGAGAGTTATATTTACAACTAAGAAGCCCTTAATCCAGTCCTTCAGGTTTATGCAAGATAACAGATCTCTCTTCTTTTTTCCCCATCATTTATCCATCTTGTGTGTTAAGCTGGGGCGAATGTTAAAGCATGTAAGTCAGTCAGAAGGTTAGGTGCCTCAGAGACACGGTACCCTTGTGATTTCTTTGGTATGCTTCACCTAGACCTCATCTGTCTCAAACACTATTTAAACGATCAGCAACAACAGTATAGGAAACATTTGTTTGAGTCTGAGACCCTTTTCACATCTGACAAAGAGAAGAGAGTGTTTTCATCCATCCAGGGCTTTCAAAAGCAGGAAGATAGACTTTCAGTAGACATGTGGCTTTGTTGCTCAGGAAGGAGCTGCTTGTTACACAAAGTCATCTATTGTTTTTCCTCCTTTCAGATGAACAGAGCATTCTGCCGTGTAAAAAAGAGGAACTACAGTGTGGTGATGGACTCTGCCTCTTAAACTGGCTGCGCTGTCACTATAAGAAGGACTGTGGCAGAGACTACATGTCCATCAAGCTAACATGCTCAAGTGAGTTACCCTTCACTTTCCTAAATCATGACACAATGCCCTAGAAATGTGAATCCATTTGCTCACCGAACTGGTGTTTGTTAACAATATACTGTTCTAAACATTAGATGTGATACAGTTTTGCTGTTGCAAGGATACGGATATTTAGAGGTTTATTTATTCATATGTCTAAATCATTTATGCTGCATGCTGATTTCAAGTAGAATGGTAGACAAATATCAGCAGTAGTGGGAATGGAAGATTTGGTTGAGCTCAAAATGCATTAAACTAATGTATTGTGAAGGCTGCTGCTCTGAAATGCCAGCTGAGTGGGGAGAAGCAAAAAAAAAAGGCAGTCGCCATTGCTGGAAACAATTAGACACTGGCAGCTCTGCAGAGCAGTGACTGATGGTACTCTGCATTTGGAAATGTTAATGCGAATAAAACAAACTGCCAGCTGATTAAAAAAATACTTGGGCAGGGAAGAGGTAAGAATTACTGTGAAGTCAGAGATATCGAGTGTATTCTATGATTCTATGATTCTATTTAAAGGAGTCAGTTTTCAACTTTTGTAAACAGTGCAGATGGTTTTAGAACCAGATTTGTTGCAATACTTTGAAAGATGAATTGGAGGATTTCTGATGAACAAAAGTGTGTTATACTCTCAGCAATTGCTGTTTACTAGCAAACTTGGTGAGGTAACCTTCTTGGCCTTTCTGTTCCTACTTTTTGCTTGTTATTTGTTGTTCACTTGTTAATTTCAAGTTACAGTTTTAACTCTGAAACCTTCCTTTTAACATACCCATTTTGTAACTAGCAACATCTAAAATGGCAAATTACTTTTAGACCTCTATTCTACACAGTACAAATAGGACGGATCACATACTGCTGTTACTAATTACTTGCCAGAAATATTTGCAGACTTCAGATTTTTAGTTAACACAACATTGTACACAGAAGAACGTAGCTGCAATTTTGCAAAAAGACCAGAAGTTACAACAGGGAGAACAGATTGACAGCTACTGGCAATACACTTCAGATGAAAGTAAAACAAAAAATGAGTGTCAGGAGTGAGCCTAGTACACTCCATCCTCTAATGGGCATTCAGATGCATAGAGACAGGATAGAGCCAATCCAAAGTAAAACCCTCTGAAACATGCATAGTGTAGATAGCAGGCCATCAACACCAACTGTTCAGTCTACAGATCTTGTCACAACCCGCTGGCTGGCTTTACAGAGGAATTCAAGCACTCATGCAACACAAGCACTCTGTAGAATTGATCACAGTCCATTAAGTATAGCAGCATTCAGGTCAGATCCATGGAGCACAAAAGATTATGAGTTTATAATTGAGAATTCAGAAGGGCTACAGTTAACATGCATGGGAGGACACACAAGATGTGAATTTAGGCAAGACCTCAGGTTCTTATGCTCTTAATTCCTGGTCCAATCAGCACAGATTAGAGCTAGGTATGTGGTTTGGTTTTTTCTCTGAGGAAACATATTGGATGTGATCATGGAAGATTGAATGGGAACACGATGGTTTTGATGATCTTGCATCTTGCCTGGATCACATGAAAACTATTCAGCAACTTACATCACACATAAGTAGGCATTATTTTCTGCCCTTCTATAAAGGTGTGCATGAGGTAAGTAGTGAGTAGCAACACACTCTTTTTAATATATGCCAATATGTATTTTTTCTAAATGCAAAGCTGTCAATTCAGTGCTAGTAAGAAAAAGACAGCGACAGCTGACAAAATAGAGTCAAAGTCACAGATTTGCTCTGAACATATTACCGTAGTTAAGATCTCAAAAATACAAAACCAACAGATCATTTGCAATGGTTACAGAAGCGAACAGAAATCAGAAATTGCCTAGAGGAAAAATTCATTATTTTTTCAATGGAAAGACAGATTTGCTGTTCACAGATGAACCTGAGAGTAGACTGTCATCCGGCAAGGCACTAACATCTGTCACTTCATATATACTTCACAGACACAGACATGTTTCAGACAGGACAAGCGCCAAAGTACCTCTGTCACGTGTTGGTTTTGCTGAATAGCAACAAGACCTGTTAAGACAATCAGCACCAACAGAAAATCTACACAGAACACCTATGTAGTTAGTCTGATGGACTACAGCTGTACAAGGATTCCCAGGGAAGCTGATCACAGGCAACTTCATTTGGCAAAGCTGGAATAAACCAGCAATTCAGTTTCAGCTATCAACTAATATAATAGAAGAGTCACCCAGAACAACTGGGATAAAATATAGCTACCAAAGTAAAAGAAAGGGATGTCTTTCTTATGGCCCCCAGAAAATTATCCCATCAGTCTGAAAACTGGTCAATCATTCCTATCAACGGTAGAGTTATTAAAAATGCATCACAGAAGCATGGTGGTTTTTCGCTTTGGACTGGACTAGATTCTCTCTGATGGTACTTAGGTTTAAACTAGCAGCTCTGGTGTGAGTATTCAGGCCTTTAAACAAACACGTAACTTCAGATTATAGAATCCAGAAGCATGGAAAGGTTGTGCTTTTAGCAGGTTTAAAAACAAAAAGGTTTTCCATAGTATACCCATTAGAAGTTTATGTGTCCCAACAGTTTTCTTTTTTGGTCTGAGAAAGCCTTTTCTCTTTAAACAGTGAAATAAATGGCCAAGTTCCTCAGTCTGTTACATGTGCTCACTATGCATGTACATTCACTCCAGGGGATTTTGGATTTGTCAGTAGCTAAGGGGAATGCATGCGATCTGCTTCTTAAAACACTGGCAGTACATCAACCACGGAAGCAGGCTAATGATAGAGTGAAAGGGAAATGACTTCCAAATCACCTCCTGCCCGCTGTGTCAATCATGCCTAACCTCATATTCTGGATTCACATACTTAGGTGTTGGGAGGGGATAAAATGAGAACCTTTTGTTCTAGCATTTATAAAATCAGATACAATAGTGTCTATAATGGGGGCTCCCTGTACCAGTAACCACTGTCATGTGGTCTACCACTACCATGTGATCTCAGTACTTATTTAGAATAAGAGATTGCTATGCAGGTAAGCAGGATGTCAGAAATTGGAAGGGCAAAGGAAAAAGAGATGCTAAGAAAGGAGTTCAGAAATAAATACCTAGGAAAGGGGAAAAACAAAACTGGCAGCTCTTTCTCAACCATATTACACCATTTTTACTGTCATGTAGCTCACTGAAATCTATGGCCTACTGCTGTAAGACAAGAAAGGCCATGGTATTTTGAGGATATCCACCACTATTGTGGGCAGTCCAGTCACACTAGAGCTCTTGACATTATTCCTTGTCCAGTTATGAGCAAATAATAGCAGAGACATTCAACATTTCCTATTTGAGACAATGAGAAAGATTCCAAAGGGCTTACACACAGAATTGTGGTTATAAAGGAAAGACAGGCTATAGTATTTTACACATCCTTTCAGACCTAGGCTCGTATGGGAAAAGCTTTGTGGCTAGCCATGGTAAAGTGAATTTTCAGGAAAGGGAAGGGAATCGGGAAAAGCTTGGGTCCACAAGATCAACATCCACAGTATCTACTGAGAGTAAGAGCGGACTTTCCAGCGAGGCTGTATTCCAGGAGAGATTTCCATTGTACGTTTAGCATATTGCTACTAGATGGAAAACGTCCGTGCTGTTGCTGCAAACCATAGTCTAGTTCTGGCAGGAAGATCCTCAACAAATGGTGGATGGAACAAGAAGAATGTGGGATAAGTATTTTGAGAGTAGGGAAACTTTGTTCTTTTTGTAGCACCTCACACATCCAGTGTCCTAACCATGGCTTCTAGGCATTATGGTAATATAAGTAAAGAATAACAATACCAGTCAGTGTGTTGCACCATAGCTCTGGTATTCCTAAAAGGCTGTTTATGGCATCGCAGTAATCAACAACAGTGTAACAAGCTATGTGTGTGCATTCACAGAGACGTTTCTTACACAACCAACAGTATATACGCTTACCAACAGGTGATGTGTGCATACACATATATAAACACAGCTCTGTAAAAGAGGTACCTTGATGTAGAAAGAAAAAATAAAAGAGGAATTACTTTCACAGGATTATAAGTACCCACAATTTAGTTAATTTTTACCCTCCATAGTTATCTTGGCTTTCAGAGGCAAAATAGTTACTTCCTTAGCTTACTCTCAGAGCTTAATTTTAGCATTTAAGAAGCAAAACACTGACATAAGAGTATTTCATTTAATTTGCAGCTACCATGAAATTCAGCCTAATGGGAAAGAACATGAACTATTCAAAGTATATTTCAAGTATGAATATGTTTGCCTATTCCTTCTTGTATCGGTCAACCAGAATCACCACATGAAAAAATACATTTGTGTATCTTTCTTCCTCTCTTTTTCCTCCCCTTTCTCTTTCTTGTGCTCTCCTTTCTTAACTTGACTGACGGAGGGTTTTTTGCTGTTAAATCCTCTTGAATCAGAAGCAGAACCACTGCTAAGTCTTAACAAAAGCATTGTACTGCATGTACTCCAGGGAAGCTGCCCTGAGAAGCAATGCATGGATTTGTTCCAGTTGAGAAAACAAGCTAATATTTCCCTTGCTGTAAGAGGAAATCAAATGTATAATCTTTGCTCAAGGGTTAACCATACATTTCTCAGAAAATACACTCAGCAAAATAGTGTTGACCTGTAGCACTTAAGATGTACTTGCCTTCACCTACTCTTTTTCCAGTCCTCTAGCCAACCATTTAGCATAGAAGCTTACATGCATACAAAGATTTTAGCTATCTTCCAGTGGCTCAGATTTCCTATGTGCTTTTTTTTTAAGGCTCTATTATCTATCTAGAGACTTTCCTGAAACCATGAGAAAGTAGTATTAAAGGCTAAAATTTTGGTTCAGACGAAAACATACATTTTCATGGGAAACAAAGAATTTGCCCCAGTGAAGCCAAAGACAGTCATAACTAGCGCAATCATTGCTCCCACTTGCAGGGGTTACATGACTGGAGTCTTCTGTACCAAAAAAATTGTCTTTTA